CAGAGGGGGTTGCGTCGACCGAAAGCGTCTCTAAAACTCCAGAGGGGGTTGCGTCGACCGAAAGCGTCTCTAAAACTCCAGAGGGGGTTGTGTCGACCGAAAGCGTCTCTAAAACTCCAGAGGGGGTTGCGTCGACCGGAAGCGTCTCTGAAACTCCAAAGGGGGTTGCGTCGGCCGGAAGCGTCGTTGAAACTCCAGAGGGGATTGCGTCGGCCGGAAGCGTCTCTGAAACTCTAGAGGAGGTTGCGTTGGCCAGAAGCGTCGTTAAAACTCCAGAGGGGGTTGCGTCGGCCGGAAGCGTCTCTGAAACTCCAGAGGGGGTTGCGTCGACCGGAAGCGTCTCTGAAACTCCAGAGGGGGTTGTGTCGACTGGAAGCGTCTCTAAAACTCCAGAGGGGGTTGCGTCGACTGGAAGCGTCTCTGAAACTCCAGAAGGGGTTGCGTCGGCCGGAAGCATCGTTGAAACTCCAGAGGGGATTGCGTCGGCCGGAAGTGTCTCTGAAACTCTAGAGGAGGTTGTGTTGGCCAGAAGCGTCGTTAAAACTCCAGAGGGGGTTACGTCGGTCGGAAGCGTCGCTGAAATTCCAGAGGAGATTGCAAATTAATCACTATTTTGTATTCTTTTATTATTAAATGGATTGATTTGACAACATTTTTATCATAAAATGAATTGAACATGTGGTATTGTTTCACAATCTACTTGATATCCAATGAAATTATCAATCCACAAAAATCAATTAGGGTTTCATCTTGTACCCAAATATTGCATGCCTACGTTGTGATTATTGGAAGATAATCTCAAAATTAGGGAGCTTAAACAAGTTTTTGTGATTAGAGTGTACAATCAAGGCGGTAATATGGGTGTGATTTCAAATCACTCCATTCTCGAACCTGACGTATTCAGTGACTCATTTGACGTTTTAAAAATGGACGTAGTATCGAGTGAATTCAATGTGGAAACTGCCCCCAAATGTACGAGGAAGTCCAATCCATTTTTTTTTATTTAACTTAAGATTAAGAAAAAATACTTTTTTTTATTTATTTATTGTAAGGAACTTATTAAAAAAAAATTATTAATTATTATATTATTGCTGTTTTATTTTTTTTCGAAAACTATCTAGCAAAATAATTATATAAAAGAGCTTCGACCTTGTGATAGTGAGATCTAGATAAATACACATGTTTCTAGCGATTCACATGGCATCATCAAATGATACAAGTCTTGGATAAGAATCTACAATGCACTAGAACGCCTTGTTGGCGATCCTTTACTCAGACAGCATCTAGGGTTCCTCGAACAATGTGATATCTCGCACCGGGTAAATCCTTAACCCTTCCCCCTCCTACTAAGACTACAGAATGTTCTTGTAAATTATGGCCAATACTAGGTATATGGTTAAGCGTACTCTGACAACTTTACGTAAGGCAGAGTTTGGTTTTTTGGTGGTGATAGTGGAAAAGTTGACAGATAAGTCACCCTTACTGCCACTCGACAGAGCCGTACATGAGATTTTCACATCATACGACTCCTCGTTCAATTCTTTTGAAGTCATTGGATCCTTTCATTCCGTCCCGAAGAGTGATTGGGACCAATTCAACTTGGTTCGCTTCATCCATGCTTGCTTAAAGAGATAATTTAATTTAAGAGAGAACTTGGTTAGTTTATCTAGGGGTATTTTCGTAATTTTAATTATATATATATTGTATTTTCATCCAAAATTATACATAGAGAATTAAAAACATGCATCATAGAAAACACAACATAGGGGTGTTGTATTTGTTGGATCGATATGACAACCCTGGGTGAATAGAGTTTCAATAATGTAATTATTAATTTTATTTATTAATTTTATTTCTAATAACCAATGTAATTATTAATTATTTTTTTTAATAACCACAATAAAAATTTAGGAAAAGGGTTAGAAAATATAACATGTCAAACTCGACTTACTCCACTCACCAAGCACCTCTTGGGAATTTGAATAAAATTTTCTGACTATTTTCTCGGATCAGAGCCCAACCGCTACACCGCTCACCGCTCTTTTTACGAGTGCAAGAGCAAACTCAATCATTTCTACGGCTCAGGATCAAACCGGTACACCGCTCTTTTTACAAGTTCAAGAGAAAACTCAATCCTTATTTTCTCGGATCAGAGCCCAACCGCTACACCGCTCACCGCTCTTTTTACGAGTGCAAGAGCAAACTCAATCCTTTCCACGGCTCAGAATCAAACCGGTACACCGCTCTTTTTACGAGTTCAAGAGAAAACTCAATCCTTTCCACGTTCAGCAAACCAGTACAATTGTCTAAAATCTTATAGAAACACCCCACAACACTTTGAAGTAATAGACATCTCTCACGAATAAGATAAAAAAAACACACCACAACATTGAAGTAATAGACATCTCTCTCACAAATAAAAAAAAAATTTGAAGTTCGAGAGAGCAACAATGAAGCTTTTAAATTAAATTAAAAAATTTTAAATTTTATATAGGGGTATTTTCGTAATTTTAATTATATATATTGTATTTTCATCCAAAATTATACATAGAGAATTAAAACATGCCTCATAGAAATCACAACTTAGGGGTATTTTTGTAATTTTAATTATATATATTGTATTTTCTATTTTTCAATAATATCCAAGACAATTGGCTAAATCCCGTGAAACCATTTCATTGAAGTTCATTGATATCTTTTTTTAATAAAGCAACTCGACTTCATTGATATTTCTTTTTATTTCATCGTTCACTTACTACAATTAAAATAATATTTTTAATATTTAATGAAGCACATTGTTTATAATATGGTATGATTTTACAATCTACTAAATGAAACCATACCGAATAAACTTATCAATTAATGTCTGATATGCATAAAATTAAGAAACTTTCTTGACAATATACCTTAAAAGGAAAACTAATTTGAGAATTTTAATGTTAAAAAGTAATCTTATAATGTGAATAGATGAGCCGCTAGCGACGCGATATGTTTTAGTCGATGTCGAAAT